ATATATATTATGTCACTTGAAAATTAATCAGTGATTATTTTCAACGATTAGTTTGCTTTATGCGATTTACTCTTTCTTCACAAGACTTCAAAGGTTAAACATTTTTTACAGTTACACATGTACAAAATTATTGTATTTGACGTCTACATATAGAATTACATTATTGTTCAATTTCTTTACCTTGAAATCTGTCTATTACATAATCTATCATATCATTATTCACCTAAAAATAAAAAAGTTTTTCAACGAGGCTACAAAATGACTAAGTACAATACGCTAGTTCAGTAGCCCAAAATCGTGCGGCCAAAATGTGCAAAAGTGGTGGTGCAGAAACTATTATATGCACTATCACAACTAAATAAAAAGTAAATTCGCTTACTTATTCACGACAAGCCCACGTCTATTATTATTATTTACAAAAAATTGTTTTAATTTTTTAATATTCATGAAAAAAGATCGCGATTGAACCACCAAAAGTGGCGCTGTCGGCGGTACTTTACTAGCGTAACGTAAACGCTACTTACTAGAAAATCCAAATAATCATTTAAAAAACATTTGTCCGTAGAATATTGGCATGCAGACCATTAATTTAATACACTCCTTGTAATCGTTGATAGATGTTGCGTGATTTTTGCTGAGCTTTTCTAAATTTATTGGCTGTAGTAACAATTGAACATTTTTATGATTAACGCAAACGCACACGTTGTGCATTTTACTGCTATCTGCTAAAACACAATATTATGGTCGAAGCTGCGTGAAATTTGTGTAACCTTTTTTTTCGTTTTCATTTTCTTTTTTAAATAAAACGTGTAATTCATTTTAATTTCCCAACAACTATCGTTTTGGAACTATTTTTTAATCTCCATTGTCGTCTTTTATTGACACGTAATCATTCATACCAGGCAAAAGGTGACTAATGTTGTGTTCTTCGCAAAATCCTCTTACTCACACTTCTCAACAAGATCAAGAGCCATTGTAGGTCTTGTCTATTCCAAAATCTCTCGAGTGTGAGTGATAGTATTCTTTCTCGCTTATCACTGGACAATTTGAATTATTTAATAATTTTTTCCAAGACAGCTACTTCTGCTTTTCTGTACTTTTTGTTACTTTCTTCGCTTTTTTTTTTTTTTTTTTTTTAATGTAAAGAGTTAAATTTTACGTTTGGAGATAAATCGTCGTATCTTTTGGTACTTATTATCGAAAAAACATTTTTAAAGATTTGTGGAGATTTGATAAGACCTTTGTTTACAAAGTTTCTATCTGTTACCAAAGAATTATAGTAGTTGACTATTGTGATTAAATTGAAATAATATAATGGCTCACTATAATAACCACACAAAAAAAAACTTCAACTAAAAACTTTTGTTTTTGTCTGCAGACAGAAATAACACATGGACAGTGGACACAGGCCAGTTCTGTAATTACCACATACTTAACTCTTTACCAGTATGAAACTTATGACAAAAATACTTTGGACCTTTAGGGAGCCTGTACATGGGTGTCTAAGACTGTAAGCCAAACCTATGGCGGGTGATTCAATTCGAACTAACGTTAACTGAATATTAATATGAATTGTTTTAAACAAGATAATAGGCGTCCTGTTCGTAACAAAACTATGTTACGTGATTGCATTATAATATTGGAAAGATATTTAGCCACAAAAACTAAAAAAAAATTTGCCAACACTGAGTCGTTAAAAAGAGAGGTTATGTTGACAAAATTAATGTATTAACATGAATTGTAGAAATTTTTCATTGGATGCCTTAAAGACGTTCTAACCTTATAATGTCATCACGTTACATAGTTTTATTATGAATAAAGTGTCTATTTCCTTGTTTAAAACAAATTATATCGGTATTCAGTTAACATCAGTTTGAATTAAATCAACCGCCATAGGTGTGGCTTACAGGCTTAAGACTGTAAGACGCCCATGTACAGGCACCCTTACGAATCATGAAATTTTCCATTTCTGGTGAGAGCTGCGATTGGTTTAAATTTTTGACCATACCCTAGCCCTCAGCTCTTCGTTTACAATACATATGTGTACTATGTGTAGGTATCTGCGCGGAGTTTAGTTTTAGCCTTCAGTTTAGTTTAGGCCACGTCAGAGCCACGTCAGAGTCAGAGGTCAGAGCCACCGGCCACGTCACGTTTTAATAAGCTATCTAACCTGACCTAACCTTTTCCGTTATTTTGTTTGTTTACATCTATCTCAGCTAGTGTCCTAAAGATAGCTGTCTAATTTGCGCCTACCCTTTTTTGTTTTGTTTATAAATCATAGTTTAAGTTATCAAGTAAGTGCTAAAATCAAGGAGATATGGGCAAGCACGAAGTGGGTACGCCCAAGTACATCGCCAACAAGATCAAAGCAAAAGGTCTGCAGAAGCTGAGATGGTATTGTCAGATGTGCCAAAAGCAATGCCGAGACGAGAATGGCTTCAAGTGCCACACAATGTCGGAATCGCACCACAGACAGCTGTTGCTTTTTGCTGACAACGCCAATAAGTACATGGACCAATTCTCCAAAGAGTTCTCCAGTGGCTATCTCCACCTTCTGAAGCGACAGTTTGGCACCAAGAGAGTACCAGCCAACAGAGTTTACCAGGATTACATTGCTGACAGACAACATGTGCACATGAATGCCACCCAATGGTTGACACTGACTGCATATGTCAAATGGCTAGGCAGAACTGGCAAGTGTGTTGTGGACGAGACAGAGAAAGGATGGTACATAACATACATAGACAGAGATCCCGATGCCATAGCTGCTTTAGAGAAGAAGGAGAAGAAAGAAAAGATGGACAAGGATGACGAAGAGCGGATGCTGGAATTTATCCAGAAGCAGGTGAAAAAGGGAAAAACAAGTGAGGAAAATGGAGAGGAGGAGGAGGAACTTAGGCCACTCGAGAGGCCAGAGGATGATGCTCCCTTGAAGCTTGACATCAAGATGAAACCCAAAAAAATTGTGCCAATGTTGTTCGTCAAACCTTTGCTCGATGGTAAACATGGCTTGGATAAGAGTAAAAGTTCTAAAAGAAAGTCTATAAAAAGTGAAGAGGAATCTCACAAGAAAATTAAAAAAGAAAAAAACGATAGTGAAGAAGATGAAAAAGCAGTTGGTAAAGACAAAGGCTGGTTGGTGGTTGGTATATCCGTCAAAGTAGTGACTAAATCACTGGGAGAAAAGTACCACAAGGCAAAAGGCACAGTTGAGGAAATAGTTGACCCAGATGGCTTTGTTGGCAAAGTCAAACTTAAATCCCCGGATGAGGTGAAAGGAAACTTAATTAAAATAGATCAGGAGCATCTAGAGACCGTCATTCCAGCATTGGATGGCCAAGTTATGATATTAAAGGGAAAATACAGGAGCAAAGTAGGAGTTTTGAAGAAAGTAAGGATAGATGACTTTTGTGCGGATATTGAACTTGAGAATGGTGAGAAATTATTAAAAAGAGTTCCTTACGAAGAATTTTGCAAATATGTTCTCTAAATCTTTGTGTAGTATAGTTGATATTGTTTGTACGCTTGAGTTGTATTATTGTTATAGAATGGTAAACGGATTTCTAATAAATAATACATTGTATTTTTTACAAGCCAGTATTTACTTATTTGGAAACTTCCTGCTGGTACTGTGAGGTCAAATTTTATAAACTCATTACAGTAGAAGGAAGAAATATATTACAGTCAACTGTTTTATTGAATTATCTTAAAAAGTCGTGAAAAAAGAAAAAAAATTTAAAAATCAAGCTGATCAGATCTGAGCATCTGGTAAAAATCATTGTGGTTCCTAAACAAGTTGTCGAACAAAATTATTTTTCTTTTCTGGTTCTCAATCTTGAACGTCACAGAATTCCAGGGAAGTTTAGATTCCTTGGACTTGTAACTCAAGCTCTTTGCTGGAAATTCGTAATACTCCAAATGAAAAGGTACCCTACTGATAAATACAGCTCGATATCCGCCCTTATTTGGATCCCTGTATATCCTCAAAGGCCAGCGTGATCTCAAAAGATTTGCTGCAAACAGCATAAACACATTAACCACCATGAAAGCTAAAAGTTGCTCTGGATTTTCCTCAAAATCTTCGCTTATGAAGTACTTTGGATCCTTGTACAACTGATATCCAAAGTAAATTCCCCCACTCAGACTGATGAAAGCTATGATGTTTACCGAGTAGTACATTATGTGTTGAAATACGTAATTTTTTTGACGGTAAACGAGCTCGTAGCTCAGAGGTATGTGGTCCCTCTTCTTCAACAACAGCTCCATTTTCTCAGAGGTCTTCATCATCGTGCAGGACCTCGACTGCACAAATTTCGTTACACCAGCTATGGGCCTGAGCCTACTTTTGCAGCACTGCAGTATACTTATTATCATTTTCCAGCTGAAACAATTGCAAAGTCTTGTCATTAATTTGGTTTCATTGTGCTTGTCAGTGATTTACTCATACAGCTTATACAAACTTCAGAAATTTGTACCTGGAATATTGTGATCCACAGCAAGTGACAAAGTTATTTCAATTCCACCTTTTTTTTTTTTTTTTTTCTTCTATTTACAAATCAGTCTAATAATTTTGTGTGAAACAATTTAATACCGTTTACACAAAGTGTATACACACAGCAGAAGACGTACGTCAAAAAAGTTAGGTCGTGTATACCAAAAATATATGTATATATGTTGCGCACATATGCTGTGCGCAACTGATGTGGAACCACTGGAACCAGCCAACCAGTGGAACTGTAGTAATGTACACGTAGGTACAAGAATTTTTTTTTTGAGGTTATTTACACACACATAGTCCCCTCAACGGCAGTGTGTTACCTATAATTATTCCAGCACTTGAAAAGTTGAAAATTAAAAAAATTAATAAATGCTGAAACTATTTCGTGAAAACTCCGATGAGGAGGATGACGGGGACGTCGAAAAGTTGAATACTGATACAAGTTACGCCAAGAATTACGACAATTGGCGGAAGAAAGAGGAATTGAACAAGCGTGAGTTGACGCATTACACATGTCGACGAAGATAGGCATACTTAAGTATTGATTATTTTGTATTGTTATAGTAAAAACCAAGTACGGCGAGGATGTTGCTCTGGATCTCATGGGTGACGATGACGAAGACGACGATGAGTCAAGTTCGTCGAGCGATGATGATGAGGGTGAAGTGAGTAGTAGCGTCGGTGGGTGAGCACGTTTTAATTGAATGTTTCTATGTAAGGGGATTTTTTTTTTCTCCATTTACCTAGGAAATACCAGAGGAGTTTGAGAAAAGTTTCTACAAAACGCTTGCCTGCTTGAAAAAGAAGGATCCCAAGATTTACAATGAGAACGTCAAGTTTTTCGATAACGTGACAATATCGAAAGATGAGAGCAAGCCGAAAAAGAAGAAGGAAAAACCGATGACCTTGCGTGATTACGAACGTGAGATAATAGTGAAAAAGGGCGGAAGGTTGAGCGACAGCGAAGAGGAAGATGGTGTTCACAAGAGGCCTCGGGACCCGACGTATGTTCAAGAACAGCAAGCACTGAAAGACAGTTTTAAGAATGCTCTGAAAGACGAAGAGGGGGAGGAAGATGATGATTTTTTGAAGCCAAAAACGAAGTCGGAGACAGAACAACACAAGGTAAACTTATTAATGAATAGCATGCAATGGTGGATTTGCTGATGTTTATTTATTTTTCAGGAAGAAGAAGCTTACAAAGAATGGCTCAAGGGTCAGTCTCGAGAGATCAATGAGGAAGAACAGAAGGAACTCAAGTCTCTCAGAGATTTTTGGAGCGATCCCAATTTGGATAAAGACGAGAAATTTCTGAGGGATTACATTTTAGAGAAAAAATTCTTGGATAATGACGAAATAAACGCTGATCTTGAGTACGCTAAGGTGATTCATGACTCAGATGAAAATTTGTCAGAGGATGAGAGGAACATTAATAAGCAAGAGGAATTTGAACACAAGTATAACTTTAGGTTTGAAGAACCTGATCCAGATTTCATCAAAAGGTAACAAAATCATTTATCTGAGTTGGAAATGTTTCATGGTAAAATGTAACCTTGCTTTTCTTACAGATATCCTCGTACTTTGGAAGGTACACTAAGAAAGAAAGAATCAAAGAGAGCAGATAAACGAGCAGAAGTAAAGGCTAGGAAAGAAAAGGAAAAAATCCATAAAAAAGAAGAATTAAAACAGTTGAAAGCCCTCAAAAGAAAAGAAATAGAAGAGAAATTAGAAAAACTAAGAGAAATCACAGGTTTGAATTCATCTATACAAAAAATTCGTCCAACATGAGTACATAGGTTTTCAAACTATCTTTCTTCTTTGATTAGGAAATGATGACGTAAAACTTGATCTAAAAGACCTAGAAGATGACTTTGATCCTTTGGAACATGATAAAAAAATGAGTCAGTTATTTAATGATAATTACTATGCCGAAGATGTGGATGAAATGAAGCCAGAATTTCCTGACATTGACAAAGAACTAGGAGTAGAGAAAAATTGGGATTACTATGATCCAAACTCTAAAAACATAGCAGAATACGATTCGTATTACGAGGGAGGATTGCACTGTGAGGATCCAGAATTCAATGTGAGCATTATCCTTTCGATTATGTGCTTTCATATTGACAATCTTTTAAATTGCTGACATTTTATTTTAAAGATGGATGCGGAATGTGATGGCCAAAAAAGTGCACACGATGAAGGGGAAGAGTCCGTTAAGAAGAAGAAACGAAGAAGGCGCAGTAAATTTGCGGAGATGATTGCAAAAGAAAAACCGAAATTTAATCCTGAACAGTTTCCTAAGGCTCAAGCATACTTTGAACAGTATTACGCTCTTGATTACGAAGACATGATCGATGACTTACCATGCAGATTTAAGTACAAACAAGTTGTGCCAAATGATTATGGACTGTCGATAGAAGAGGTAAGGTTTTCAACGAATCCATTGGTTCATCAATTCAAATTATTCAATAAATAGTATATTATTTGCTTTTATACGTGTACATTCTCAATTATTTAGATTTTACTGGCTGATGACAAGGAATTAAATAGGTGGTGTTCTTTGAAACGAGCTTTGCAATTGAAAGATGAAGCTTCAGAATATAGTGACATCAAGAGATACAAACAGAAAGCGGCGAATGAGGCTTTAAAGAGGAAATACCTACCAAGTTTGTACAAGTAATATTTGCTACTATACTTTACTTTAATAAAAAAGTTATATGAAAATTGAATTGATAATGTTTACTATTTATAACTAGATCTGTTGAAAAGGATGAAGCTAATGTCAACCAAAAGGAAGAAGTCGAGGAAACTGAAGTGCAAAAAAGTAAGAAGAAAAAACGTAGGGGAAAAAGAAAGCTAGATGAAAATGGAGAGGTATTTCTAATTTGTATTCAATAAAATTCGAAAGGATGAATTCAATGTGAAAAATAACAAAACTTGAATAAAAATTTTTGTTTTACAGGCTATTAGTGAGAAAAATACAAGTGAAAAGGTGGAGACTGTGACTCAAGACACCAGTGAAGCAAATAATAAAATTCAAAATGAAAAAACAGCTACAGAGATCAAAAACAGCAAAAAGAAACGAAAATACGAAAAAACTGTAAATAAAAATAATGAGTTTGAAACGCCATCAGAGAAGAATGTACCTGAATCAACGATGAATCAATTAACAACAGAACAATCAGTTGTCAATGGTAAAAAAACCCAGAAGAAGAAAGAGATGAAGGCTTTGTTGGAGCAAGTAGAGTCTACCAACACCAGCGAGCCTCCACAGAAGAAAAAGAAAGAGCAAAACTCTGAGGATAAAAGTAATGCATCTTCATCAGACAAGCCTCAAGCCATCAACAATGTTGATCATACTCAAAAGAAGAAAAAAAAGAAGAAAAAGAAGAATAGTATTATTCAAGAGAAATGTCCAGAACAGAAAAAACTTCAACCAAGCAAAAAGTTTGCAGAGAAAAATAGTAAGGACAAAGGTGAAGTTTTGAGTAAGAAGCAAATGAGGAAAGAACTGTTCAAGAAAAAAGCTCAGAAAAAATTAGAACAAGAGGAGGCTAAGAAGAATCCAATACTGCAATTGAACGACGAAAGATTTAAGGCTTACGGAATTAAAAATCCAAAAAAATTCAAGGCCAAGCTGAAACACGCTAATACTCAGAAGTAAGATGATTGACTTTAACGTATATCGTGTACAAATGTAAATGATTGCGTTTTAAAAATTGTGTGTTTTTATTGTTACCATTCGTGAACATGCATTTTACTGTTTAAGTTTACGAAAGGCTGTTTCCGTACCGCAGATTTTAAATATTAGGTCGTGTATACCAAAAATATATGTATATATGTTGCGCACATATGCTGTGCGCAACTGATGCAATCTACTTCTTTCAAAGTTACGAAGTTGACTGATGTCGTTAGATATTCTTTTGCGCAATTTTTTTACATTTATAGATTGTTTTTCTTCATATTGATTAGATTTTATACGAATAAACTGTCGACTGTCACTCTTTCTTTTACGTTTTATTTTTTTTTTNCAGCGACCTATTAAGCAAATACGTGTAGTGTCGCTTTTTAAAACTTTTTTATAGATTTGTAACCACAGTATTGATAAGGGAGGACCGTTTTTGTACTTTTGAAACAACTCTTGATAATCCAAAAAATTTGCTAATTATCGAACAAACATTATGCCTTAGGGCACTTCAACCGAACTAACTTTTAGTTCCCAAGTTGTAAAACTTTTTCATACAAATTTTTCATGAACAACATAAAAGGGGGGGAGGGGATTCGTGTAACTTTCACAGTAAAACACTTGTGCAAATTTAACACTCGACAGCATTAAAACATTTCATCCTGTAAGTACCTAGTACTCTTTTTTCCCCGCTCGGCGACTGATTCCGCCCTGACAAAGTGTACACACCCGTAATGATAAACGATGTTTGAGGATTACGTTAGGCTTGCACTGCAACAACACAATAAGCAACCCGTAGGTGTAGAATTATGCGCCCTGTATACACGACTATACCTACGTATCCCAGCGCCTGTAATCCCGTCCGTATGTCGCTTACCCCTAAACACGCAACCCTCCCTAAAATTACTTGATTTTTCGAGATACCCCTCCCCCTATTTGTGTCCCACCCTCCGATGAAACTATTGTATACACGTACTAGAAATTCTACCTTTATTTTTTCAATTAAAAAATACAAAATTTTCAATGCTAGTTTTGGCAAGGATCAAAATTCCATCTCAGAACCATCAATATTTTCCTGTACGTAAACCCCGCGAGTGAAGAAAAAAACCCCAGCCCCCCTCCTTACCGTTCACCCGCCAGGAGATAACAATTCCGCAAAGTGAAGGTGTCGAGCACGTCGCAATGGTAATTGGCGCAAGCGAGACACTCGGTGTGTTACACACGGTACCAGGATCTTACGGATAGTCGAGGGCGAGGGAGAATCAAATAGGTGGGTATTACATATAGTCCAAGAGCTGGTAGGTACGCGAGGGGGTGGCGGAACTTTACGCGCGCTGGGTATACACGACAGAGCCCCTTGGGTGCGATAAATCAATTCGCGGGGAACCCCCGGCTCTTGCGTGCGTGTACGGTGTAGCAGGTGGCCCGGCAAGAGCTCCCCCCAACTCGCAACGGACTCACGCCTCTCTAATTCCCAATTAATGTTGCACTTTCAACCCTCCCCCCGACACTCCTACTTTTTTTTTTTTTTTTTTTTTTTTTTTGTCTGTTGAGGTGTATTTTGGTTTCCGTTCCTATATGCTCATCAAAATGTTACAAGTTAGATTGCGCGTGGGAAGAAAATATTGTTTGAAACGGCGTGGATATAGCATCGTGCATGCATTGTTTCATAAGGCGGTACTTGGGATGCTGTAGGTTTTGTTTAATCTTGTTTAACATGAGAACAACTCATTGCTTTTTTTTTTTGTAAAACTAATTTACAAGTCGTTTTCCTTCCCACGAAGTTTTTTGTATTGCGAACGAAAATTCGAAAAATCATTTGTTGGTTCCCCTCGAAGTACCGCCCTTGGAAAAAAAAAAAAAAAAAATTCGTTTAACGTCCATGCGAAAGAAGAAAACAAAAAAAAACAAAAAAAAAATGTAGTGTCCTTCGAAATAATAAATCAGGAATCCTGAAGTTCTTTTTTCGTCGGAAAACACTCGTAAACCCGCGCCGCGTATGGGTAGTACACTCGATCATTGTAAGTGTGTGCGGAAGAGAGTCGGGGAGACAACGAGAATGGAAAGCGACAACGGCCGAAATTTCACGGATCGTCGCCGACTGGAAACGAGGGTGAGAGCGCACCGTTTCTTCGGCCCTCGATGTAGCCTCGATGTAATTGATCGGGAGCACTCCTCGCAAATTACCGGGTTGAAATTAATTTTTAATTGAGTGCGCACTGCGCGCATCATCGAAACCGTCCCTCGACCCTACTCCTCCTTCTTCTGTGTACACCTCATTTCTTGTTATACAGTATTTACTGTCCAATAGTGATGAACGCGTTACTATTGCGGGTAATTTTTATGGGGATAAACTTTTCATTTTTTCTCAAAACTTCACTCGAAAAACATTATGGACATTTCACATTATTTTAAAAAATAACAAATTCATTTGCAAAAAAGCCCTGTAGAAAAAATTTCAACTATCAACTATATATTTCAAACGCATCCTAAATTCGCATTGGCAATACATTCAAATTATATTCATGATATATGCTTGCATCATTTCTTCATTACGTTTCCATCCAGTAAATTCAAAGAAAAAAAATCAAATAAAAATGTTACAAAAGTACTTTGTACTTATTCTTTTACTATGTTTCTTACCTAACTTTGTATTGTTTCAATGAACTAATGGCTCAATATTTTACTTCAGTCATTCTACAACATAGTACTTACTCATAGTAAAAAATGCTTTAAAATTTCTTACTTGCGCTCTACATCTATTGGTATTTTAAGCTGCACCGTATGCGATCGAAGTCTCTTTTAAAAAAAATAGCTTTGTCTGTAAACGCAAAGAGACAGTAAATGAAAGATAATTATACTTAAGACTGTCCCCCTTCCACTATAATACACTCTGGTCAATGACACATGCTAGCACTTAAATTTTTGTGAAGCTCCCCTCTTATGCCTTCGACCCCTAATAACTTATTTATAATCTCTATATACCCATCTTTTTGGAAAACCTATAATCAGCACTAGACGGTTAAGCTTAGGGAGAAAAACTGGACTTCTCCTATGCTTTCCGTGTGAATATTGCGGATAATGAGGATGACGTTTGAATTTTGTCACCCTTTCCTTTTAGTGTACACATGCTAATAATATATTTAGTTATTAGTATGGGACCAGCGTGTGTTAGGCTCCACTTTTTTTTCTTTAATCAGATGCCTCGATCAGTAATACTCCTACTTAACTAGGAAAGCGTGTGTTCGATTGTAGTGAATGGACGCAGATGGCAATGGTCTGAAGCCCCACAAATTGCTACGAACTGTCTGCAATAAGCAAAGAGTGTTTACTTCAATTTAAAACACACTCTGTTAGTTAATAAGAAACATTAAGTAAAAAAAACAAAAATTGGGTTATGTCTTTATTTATCCGTGGAGGAATTATTATCCGTGTCAAGCAAACTTTTCAAAACAAGTCAGACTGACAAAGGTGTCAAGCCAACAGTGTTTGTCAACTTTTTAGTATTGGCAAATGAATTTATACAATTGTACGGACACAAAACAGAAACACACACATAAAGAAAATAGTACGTATTTGATAAAAATGTCATTTATAAGTATCACTTAAATCGTGAGTATATTTTTTTTCATTTACATTGTGATCATTGGATACATTGTAGAACATTTCCATTTACTCAAATTTACACTAATTTCTAATTACATTAGTGTTCTCTAATACATTTATCTATCTTGTTTTTTCCCAATTCTTTTTTTTATTTACTTTAAGGATTACGTCATTGTCACAATATTAAAAAAAATTTTTTATTTTCTTAATTCATACATTACACATTACTATCACAATTTAACATTTGTACATTACTACTATCACGAAAAAAGATAATCCTATGAACCACTTACTCTGATGTTCCTGATGAACCAAAATTCGCCAGATATACATACAACTGACCAAAAGTGGCAATCTTGAGTAATTTTTACGATTATGCGAAATTACCATGATGGTCAAAAATATTGGTATGGCAGTTGCAAAGAAAATCAAGTAATCCCAAATAGGCTTGTTAAAAATCTGTCACGGATAAATAATGTTATTGAGTTACAAATGGAATGAAATAACTAATAATTACGATAAATGGACTATTTTTTTACTTCAAAATAAGCATGCCATGGAATCTCTGGATCGAAAATTTTGAATATCAATACATGTCTACGCTCGACAGTTGTGACTGTGGTATCAAAATTTGCAAGTCCTTTCTTAGACACTTCTTATCTATCAACAATATCGGAGGTATTCCATGAACTGTTGTATTTTTTTAAAACTATGTTCATGTATAAGACTGCTTCTCCAATAAGTTCAGCATGTTCCGTATCACTCTTTTTTTTTTTTCGAGTTACAAACAAAACCATACAATAAGCTGTTTGTTAGGGCGCAAAAATATTTAGGACAAAAAATAAAATTATCGAGGAGACACACTCGTTACCTCAAAATTGACTGTAACTTTGGTACCAGTTAAATTTTTCTTCTCTGAAATAAGTTTTGATTATTCTTGGCTACCTATCTATTTTGCTCTCTACACTCGAGGAATGCCGGTGTCTGCAATGTAGTCATTTTTGCTGTAGAATAGCATTCTCTTATAATTCGATCTTCGACACATTTAACGAGCACCTGACTTGTTTAGTTTACTTTCAAAAAATTATCTTTTGGACTCTGACAAGAATTCTACATATCTTGTTCTTACATCAATCCTACATTTTCTTTTGCGCAGTCCACAAAATTTTTTAAGCCATAATACTTAAAAAAAAACAGTAAATGATGTTTATAAATGGTGTAATATGAGAGTCTATGGCCTCGGGGTGCTCACGAAATGACTGCACGGAGTTTGGATGAAGTAGTTCATTAATATTAAAAACGAAAGAAGAGGTGGGTTGTGCGCAACCGTTCGAAGCCAAAGACTTTTTTTTGCTATCAACTAATTCTCTTGTTTGATACTCCCCACCACTCCCAACTCCCAGCCCTCTCCTTATATCTTTCCTATTATTATATCCTTTAAAGTTCAAACTAAGAGAGGCACACATATACATGGCTATTTACTGTTGTACGTGACAATGGGCTTTTGT